ATGCCCCCCAAAAGCAACCACATATTTTCTACAGTAATACTTTCTGAAGAATACCATATTTCTGAAGGCACCAGCAATCAACATGTTTCTCATTTGAAACTTAGTTTAATCTGACCTAGTTGTTTCCTAGTTATTTGCCTTGGGCAAACCAGTGCACAAGAATTCCTCTCATAAGAAAACTAAGGAACATGCAGGATGTGAGTAGACTGATGGGAGACCAAGTATTTATCAGAGGTATGAAGCTGTCTGCCGGGGATGGGGCAATGATGGGGTTCAGAGCCTGAGTGGTTAGAGGTATGTGGCACTGCTTTAGAGTTGACGGGACTTGCCTGACTGAATATATACAGGTCTCTCAGGGCTATTGTACTTCAATGAAGAGATAAAAGCTGCTTTGAACTGCTATGTGATACTATTTGAGGATAGGAATTACAAAGGTTTTATAATAAATACTTTTAAATTGTCTTTTTTTCATTTAATAAATTAAAAAATTTGGTGTTTTAGAGAAAGGTGATATGGTGTAATGAAAACACCACAGTAGGCCACTAATACCTGTGTGTCTTTGGGCAACTATTTAATGTCTCTGATCTTCCATTACCTCATACAAATACAGACATAATGCTGCTGCTTGTGCTGTGTTGAGAATAATGAAGGACAAAGTCTCCAGCATGGTGCCTGAGACACTGAAGAGAATCAGTATTAGTTTCTCATCTTTCTTTACTTATATCACCAAAGTATCTTAAGTTCTATTTAAAACTTTTTCTTTTTATTTCAGGAAAAGTGGCCACTAGGTGCTTTCAGAGGAGGAAGAGTGAGGGGTGGGCAGTCCCAGTTTTATAGTAACATAATTTATAATTTATAACCCCCTCACCCATTTGTGACTACCTCAATCACTCTCTTCAAAGGAACGATGAGTACAAAAGAGGCTAGATAAGCTCTCTCAGGCACACTGAAGCAGAGGAAGTTAGGGGTGATGCATGAATGCACGGTAAACAGAGATGCCAGCTGCTGTTTGCCAGGAGAGTTTACAAAACCAAACTTTAGCTTTAAAGGCACCTCATCAACTAGGTTAAATCTTTATGTCTCCTGGGCTCACTGTTAGAGCAGATGAACCTGTTAGAAGAGAGCGATGGGGGTACTCTCCACAATGATAGATTTCGCCTCCGTGAGCTCTTTCCTCTCCCAGAGAAAATGGTGCTGTGTTCTTTGGTAAAAGCTAACCAAATATGATTCCATATAATACCAATACTTGCTCATAATTTGGAGGGCCTTTTTTAAAAAACTTCATTAATTTCAATTCTGAGCTGAAAAACTATGTTTTTATAAAAGTACAACATAGTTATCCTTTTAAGGAGAAGAACCATCTTAGAAGCAATAAAGGGATTTGAACCCATGTGACTGAGCTACCATCTCTTGGAAACAGGTGAATTCTGGGCAGACGGGTGGGGAATTGCATCTCTTACAATGGTGAAAAGTACCTCTTTACTTTTACAGCAGGGAAATGGGAGCTCTGTGCAGATTCTAAGTGTATTAATAGACTCAAATGTTGCTAAACAACAGAAAAGAACTAGGTTTTGAAACCCTTAACATGGGAGAGATAGGAAAAACCAGGAGAGATGAATTTTCTTACTATGCTAATAGTAGGATTGAACAGGACACTTTCTCTGCAGGCCACAGGACAGACAGTTCTCTATGCATCTAGGTGAGAAAAACATCTTTAAAAGCAGAGTGTACTCCAAAAGCTAAATAAGAAAATCAAAAGGAAAAAAAAAATGCTTTTACTTGGAAAAAAAATTCAACACAGCATGTATTAAAAGGTTTTCTTTCCTTTCTCCCTTCCTTCCGTTTTTTTTTTTAACTTAAGGCTATAAAATGTTCCTATTCTGTATCAAAAATAACAGACAGCCTTTTCTTTTCTATTTTTACAAATATTTCCATCTCTAAGACTAGAGCTCTCTGGCTTTTGGCTAACATGTCCAGATCTAAGGCATTACAGAAAGAATGTCGATTTGCTCTAGAAGCAATTATACATACCATCTAGGAAGAGGCCATTTTTTTCTATGCAAGGACCACACATACTGTATGTTTGTTATATTACTTGATATCAAAGCAGAAACATCAAATTCTTCCTAAAACACACATGAAATGAAGGGCCTGGCTATGACCTCCCACATCTAAAGCAGAGATATCTGTTACAGCTCACAGGACTTGCAATGCTAATATTTTACGGCTGTGCTGGGAAGGGACACCTGATTGACTGTATATATAATACACTATGGTTGCTACAACTTTATTTATATTTTTAGTAAAAGGAACATGACTTGTATCCCAAATGTCATAAATGTAGGCATATTGTGGATGTACAGTGCTTAGGTAACACAGCATCAGGCTAATAGCAAATGACCTCAAAATATTTGCTCAGGCATCTCTAAGATCACTAGTATAACTTCACAGGGGGTGGTCTATAGAATAATTATCATTTCGGTTTCATTTTGTATTATTATTATGTTGGTATGATGACTTCCATTCATTTGTTCACTGTGCATTTACCTAGTATCTCTACTCAATGGCAAACATAGGCCAACATACCTAGCATCTCTACTCAATGGCAAACATGGCTTTAGGGCAATACATTCTTGGGGCGGGAGACAGGAGATGGAAAACTAGCTCACTCAATCACGGTGGTACATGCTATATTTTACATAGCATACATTTATAAATAAAGACTGGTATAGAAAGTATGTACTAGAGAAAAGATGATCAGGGAGGGTGAAATTTGAGGGCACCCCTAAACGAAGAGGGTTAGTTTCCTGTGTGGACTAGTGGTTGGTCCTCCAGGAACAGGGGCTAGCATCAAAGCCATGAGAGTGTGAGAGACCAGGGCACTGTAAACCCTTTGCTATTCCTCCAGCAGCTCTGTGTATGGGGCAGGAACCTGGAGAAGAAGGGAGAGCCATACTAGAGGGGCTCTGTACACCATGAGAAGGAGTTTAGACCTTATACTCCTGGGCATATTCATGCATATATTTCCCAAACACTCCAAAGATAATTAAATAGTATGATCCAAGCATACAGATAATGAAATGGAATAGGAAATGGAGAAACAATAGGATATTTAGATGGCATATATGTAGAAGTTTAATAGACAAAAAAGCTAGCATTCCCAATTAGTGAGTAAATAATGGATTTTTTTCAAAAAGTTGTATTTGGACAATTGAACTATTTAAAAATAAAATTTAACTCAATGTGTCCCACTGCATATTAAAAAAAATTCTAAGGTGGATTAAAGATTTAAATGTAAAACATACCAGAATAAAATGTTTATAATCTTAGGGTAAGAGGATGTGCTTTTTAAAAGTGACATCAAGGTCAGATACCACAAAGGAAAAGATAGATATAATCACAAAATCACAATCTTCAAAAATCACAAACTTCTGTAAGGTGTGAGACACCATAGTTGTAAAACAAATGACAAGTCAGGAAAAATATTTGTAATGTATGTAACAGTTGAAGAATTAGTGCCTGTAATACATACTGGCCTCCTGGAAATCAATAAAAATATTAACATTAAGAGAAATGGGAAAGTGGCACAAATAAGCAATTTAGAAGAAATGACATCTATTGATACAAAAGTATACTCAATCCCAGTTACAATCAAAGGAATACTATTAAGATGGTTTTATTTTTCACTTATTTGGTAATAAGCAGGAGATGCATTAAGTGACAGATATATGAAATAATGATTGATAATGCCCAGTATTTAAGAGGGTGTGGAGAAATGAGAACTCAAATACTAAGGGTATAAAATTGGTACATACTTTTTGGAAGATAATTTCACAACATCCATGATGTAAAATGTGCATAGCATTTGATCCTAAAAGCCCATAGCTAGTATCTTATTTTGCAGAAATATATATACATACACACACACACACACACACACACACACAATGTGCAAAAAATAGTATATTTATTGGACTGTTGTTTATATAGTGAAAATGTGGAAAGAACCTAACAGTCCACCAAAAGAATTCATTTAATAAATTGCAGCATGTAAATTTAAAAAAATAGTATGCTGTTTAAAAGAATATGCTGGAAAAACATCCATGGTATATGTTTAACTGAAATACACAATTAGCAGAATAGTACCCACAATATACTCTGCCAAGAGTGGGCAGTGAACCCAGAGGTTAGGAGCATGGGCTTTGGGGTCAAGCAGACCCAGATTTGAGTTTCAGCTCCACCATTTACCAGGTACGTGAAAATTACTAACCTCTCTGTGTCTTGGTTTCTTCATATGCCCAGCTTGAACGGATCCTACTAGAACCTACCTCACAGAGTTATAAGGAGAATTCCTAGTACATAGAAGAGACTAAATATATACCAGTAGTTATTACTACTGTTATCATTTTTGTACAATTACTATTGTCAACAAATTTTCTTGTGAAAACAACTTCAAAAAGTGAATCTAATATCCTTCAAAAAATTATGCTGGATAGAGTCTTTAATTGAATCTATTCAATATATTGGATAGTTTTAGCTTATGTAACAAAAATATTGTTTAGCTGATCATCTAATATATAGGATAATGAATTTGACACAACCACTTTTGACATAGATCTGTTCTGATTAATACTCATAAACCACAATGCAAACAAAAACATTTTTGAACACTATATTTAAGAATCCAGATAAATAATTACTACATTTAGATGGCTCCATTTAAAAGAATTTTAAAAAGTCTTATAGGCACAAATGAGAAATTGCCCTCTAGTTATCAAACTGATCATTAATGTTGTTTTTGTGGTAGTTTCTATTGTGTACATATTTAGTTTTCAATCATATTATGAAGAAAAACACAAAAAAGTAGGAAGGCATTTTAAAACATTTTTCCTTGATAAGAATAGGAAAATCAACCATTCAAAATGAGAAACTATGTTATGCAGCAATATATTAAAATGCCTATGTCAACACAGAGTCTATATATGAAGAACCATACATACCCTTCTGTTCGGAAAATCATTCGAAAGCTGTCTCCTAAGCTTTTATAACTGTTTGGATCAGTTGCACATCTCTGAATCTGGAACCTAGGAATAAAATCAAAGCAAAAAAATTCCAAGTTAAGGATTTTGCCAAATGGCTTTTCTCATTTTTCAAACTCTTAGGAAACTCAGCTTTTTCAGATTAATGTAAAAAGGTCTGTTTTTTTGCTATAGATTTTATTGATTTATTTGCTTTATATAATCTTTAACTTATTTTTGTAGCCTTTAAAATTATATTTCTCTGTACTTCAATAGAAACTGCAGAAAGAGGGTTTTTTTTTTTTTTTTCCGTCTGTTTCTTAGCCAGGCAGATGCACCCTGAGGCTTTCAGGCTTTTTTCTTTTTTGAAAAGCATACACAGATGTCATGGATTGTTTTAATGTAAAAATCAGAAAGATGCATATGAAACAAATAAGTAGCTCTATTTCTTATCTTAATTAGTGCTGCTCGATGGTAATTTAATACAAAGGTTAAAAATACAGAGCAGCTAATATGGCCTTACTTTGATCCGGATTGTGAATTTGGAATTCATTCTGACAGACAGGAGCCTTTGCTCTGAGCACGAGTCAGGGGCGCGCAGTGACACAGTTTACTCTCCCCACCTCACAACGGAGCAGTCCTCGTCACTATGGGAGTTCGGGCCTCTGGGTCTCCGCGGGGGCACAGTGCTCTGCACACAGCTGGTGCCCAATGAAAATGTATCCTGTTTTAGAGAGCTCAACTCTTTTCTTCTTCTTTTTGGTGTGATCATGAATCTCAGAACTTTAACCTTCAAACTGTGGAAGTTTCCAGTATGAGGTCTTAACTCATTTATTTTGTATTTTGCCCTGGAGTTTGTTCCTAAAGATATTTATGTTATGTTATTACCCTACACCTGAGTTGTTCTCCATTTTGGGGTTTCTTTAGCCTACTACTCTGGTGTTCAACTTCCTTGTCCCAGTTCTGAGTGAAGGCCTTCTCCTGTACTTTCCTCCGCAAACACCTCTAATACTGTCTAGGATGCTTTTCTCAGCTTGTTGGATTTATGATATGAACACCACTTCTACCTGTAAGAATGATGTATTTTACAGTTTTAGGCTGCAGGGAATTATGCTGGAAAATGACACATATATCACAGAAAAGAATGAATATTTTGCTTTGATTGGAGCAGTTGGGCATATGAATGGAATGGTAAGACTGGCAAGATGTTGGGTTACATTTGATTTTGTAAAGTGGAGAGTCGCTGAAGGTGATTGTCTAGGAGAGTAGCCGTATGGAGATAAGGGAGTTGAGTTCCAGCAGAAGCTTGGCACATACAAATGATTTTGTAATACCTATTGCCTGATGGGTGGATCAGAATGCGAGTATGGAGAGCAGAACAATCACAAAGGCAAGATAGGGGCCTGGGTGAAGATGATGCCAGAATATGAATGGAGGCAACAGAAATGTAATGAAAGGGGTAAGCATGTTGGGTAATCCTTTTATTCTTTAAATTGATGTTTAAAGCATTTTAATGGTACATTCAACACGATCCCCTCTTGATCCTCTATAACTTAGAAAGTAATATTCCATAACCCTAGACTTACAATTGCCAAAGTTTAAAATGTCATAAATATTTATCTTCATAATGATTTTGCTTGTCAAACTGACATCTCTATTAGCATGATCATTTTTAGAAGGTTAGTCTCTAGACAAGAACTGCATCTCTAAAATTTAAATTGCATTCCACTGCTAGGAATTTACCCTAAGAATGCAGGATCCCAGTTTCAAAAAGACATACACATCCCTATATTTACTGCAGCACTATTTACAATAGCCAGGAAAGGGAAGCAATCTAAGTGCGCATCAGTAGATGAATGGATAAAGAAGATGTGGTATATATACACAATGGAATATTATTCAGCCATAAGAAGAAAACAAATCCTACCATTTGCAACAACATGAATGGAGCTAGAGGGTATTATGCTCGGTGAAATAATCCAGGTGGAGAAAGACAAGTACCAAATGATTTCACTATCTGTGGAGCATAAGAACAAAGCAAAAACTGAAGGAATAAAACAGCAGCAGACTCACAGAACCCAAGAATAGACTAACAGTTACCAAAGGGAAAGGGACTGGGGTGGGTGGATGGGAAGGAGGGAGAAGGGGAATAAGGGGCATTACGATTAGCACACATATTGTAGCTGAGAGGGTGGCACAGGGAAGGCAGAATAGCACAGAGAAGACAAATAGTGACTCTATAGCATCTTACTACGCTGATGGACAGTGACTCTAATGGAGTATGTGATGGGACTTGATAATGGAGGTAATCTAGTAAACTTAAATGTTGTTCATGTGATTATATATTAATGATACCAAAAAAAATTAAATTGCATGTTATTTACAATAGCCAAGAAAGGGAAGCAACCAAAGTGTCCATCAACAGGTGAATAGAAAAAGAAGATGTGGTATATTACATAATGGAATATTTTCAGCCATAAAAAGAAAGAAATCCTGCCATTTATGACAACCTGGATGGACCTAATGGGTATTATGCTAAGTGAAATAAGCCAGGTGGAGAAAGACACATACCATATGATTTCACTTATTTGTAGAATATAAAAACAAAACAAAACAGAATGAACAAAACAACAGTAGACTCATAGACACTGAGAAAAGACTGGTGGTTACCATGGGTTGGGGTGGGTGGGTGGAGAGGCTGAGGGGGATAAAGGGGCACAAAAATTCTCAATCACCATATAATTTGGTCATGCAGACAGTAATAAACATGGAGAATATAGTCAACGGTTCTGTAACATCTTTCTATGTCAACAGTAACTGCACTACAGGGAGTGGAGATTTACTAATATGGGTAACTTGAACCACTGTGTTGTATATTTGAGATCAATGTAAGATTGTATATCAATGATACTCCAATAATAGAAATGAAATAGGTGCACACAACAGAAAAAAAAATTAAATTGCATGGAGCTTAACAGAAGATCGTAGACCAGTACAGCTGACTCATTTAAACTGTTACAGATCCAGAGGTGCATTTGGTGTGCATGTGTGTGTAACCACTGGCTCAGAAGACTCAATAAGTAGTTTTGTCTAGAATCAAGCAAGTGATTTGATGGTCAGGTAGATGGACCATGTTTGGTATTTTTGGATTACTGCATGCAGAGGTGATAGATAGGTATTTTGGATACAAATTAATTAACACTGAACACAAAACAGTACAAATGAGAGAAGTACAAGTAAGTTTACACAACAAACAATGGTGGAACATATAGAGTGATTGCCAAAATATGACTTTGATTCTAGTTCCAGAAAGAATCTCTGTCTCTGGCTGCATATTGTTAATCTATATTCATTGCTGAGTAGAATACATTTTCTTATGTCTAGTTGGGAAGTCCAAAATTCTTCTATGTTCTTTTACGGAAAAATTGAAAATAGTTTTATGTAAAAAATATTACATGCTCATAGATTTTTCTCATAATATCTGTAATAACATTCATGAGATTCATTTGCCTCCATCGAATTCCTTTCTATGCTTTTCTCCCTAATTTCCAAGTATTTAAAAAATATTTGCCTTATGAAATAAGATGCTGTATGTGTTACAAAAACTCAGAGCATCATCTCCACTTTCAAGAAGCACAGTAAATAAAAAAATGAGAAAAAAATAAAATAAAATAGGGAAAAATGTAGCATCGGCATCAAGTTGCTCAGGTGTTCAGCAGAGGGAGCAATTATTGCTTTCTGTAGGGGCGGGGAGGAGTTTTCAGGAAGGAGAAGGGATTTGGGCTGGTCCTGTAGGATTCAGCGAGGTGAAAGAGTAAGCCAGGAGGAAGCATTCCAGTGGGGAAAGGAGGGAAGCAAGGGCCAGTGAGGGAAAGCTGCCATTTCAAAGAAGTGAAGGGAAAGACCACTTACTGTGGCAATCCTGTGTTTCCTACAGGACAGGTGTTACAGCACTGTGCTGGCTGCATTCAGGGGCTCCGGGTAGGCAGAGACGTGAGAGGGTTAGAGGGGGATGTTTTGAAGTAAAGTCAAAGCCCTGTATGGAGCATTTGGCTGTCTCCTGCTCCTCAGCTGAGTCCTTCAACTGACTCTGCATGGCCACCTCAGTTATGTGGCTCTGGTCTTAGAAGGGTTGGTGAAGGGCTGGGCAAATGAACCAAAGCAAGTGCCTCCCGCTGGCTAGAAAATCGACCTCAGTCCCTCTGTCACTGTTGGGGTTAGAGACATAAACCTTGTCTATGACGTCTGCATGCTTGGGTGATACCAAGGTGGATCTTCTGTCAGCTTATGCAAAGATGAGTACAGAGTATAGTCATTTTAAAATTTACTAGTTACTTAACTGGCTAGTAGAAGTCTAGGCAGTTCACTCACTAGTTGCAATTTATTTTTACCCAGTCTGGCAGGTAATATTTCCAATCCAACATTCATTCAGTTAAGAAGAGTTCTTGAACACTTACTCTACTGTAGATATTCTACTGTTTTGGGGCACTTACAAAGAATAAAAAGTAATCTTGCCCTTTAGAAGCTTACAGTTAGGTGAAGCAGATGTGCAAAGAAATAATACCACATTCAAAGAATAATGTTTAGGAATAGTGTTTCTGAGTATCAGATGTCAGCCAGTGAGTTTTCTGGCACCAAGTGACATTTCTTGGAGATGATTTCCTATCTGTGGGTGGACTGTGGCTGCCTGAAAAGAGTACTGTGTAGAGATGTTGGGGGAAAAAGGGAACACAGAAAGGATATCCTTGGGCTCAATATGTGTGATTCAACTTTACCTATCCACCTTAGGACAGGCAACAAGACAGTCAGCAGAATCCTTGAGGAGTGCCACAAACAGGAGCAGCAACATCAAAAAAAACCCAAAACCTCCCATGCGGAGGGTCCACAAGCTGTGTTGTAGAGCAATGAGCAAGGATGGGCAGGCACGGTAAATACCGATTCCTCAGTAAAGCCTGCCCACCATTCTTTACTGTGCTAAAGCAGCTGGAGTCTCAGCATACAGGAGAAGGCAAATATAGCTCTTGTGTGCATCTCACACATGGTGTGTGTACATGTTTCAGAGAAAG